TTTACAGTTTACGTGACTACGATCGGCTATTATGACGTTACAGCTGGTAACCAAATCGCAGATTAATAATACTATAGGTACCTACATCTACCACGGTTATCAGGTAACCGTAGTGGTACCAGCTGCTAATTGTCGTAAATTACCGGACATTATAGCACGAGGTGATCAACCGTACAGGTCATTGTTTTTATTCAAGACGTAGCACAATTATTGCAGCCTATAAAAATTATATACCACTTATACCTATCTATTGTAGTCTGTTATTGTACTGACCAAATATATCGACTACATTGAGCTCCATTGCCGTGTCCATTTCGAATTACAAAGGAGCTGGCCATGGATAACTATTTATACAATAGCACGTCCAGCAGTGGCGCAACCAGAATTTTTTTGGAGGGGTTTTCCAGTAATTTAAAGAACGCGTAACACACTAAAGTGCTGTATAAAAAAAAAAGAAATTTTTAAGTAACTATTTATTTACTTGAGATTTCTGTCACTGGACCTCAGCCTCCCCATACATTATATTATCCAGTAAATATTCTCCTTACCATATATCCTATTATTGGGTATTGTACATATTATGCTACAGATTGTAAATTCTCTATTTTAATAATAATAAAAAAAAAATGTATTCATTTCAAATCGTTACATAATGTCATACAATATAATTATAATAAGATACCCATTTCAAAATTGATCTCTCCGAAGTTTTATTTACACGTTTCAAGTAAATTAAAATCAAAAACGTGAAGATAATATAAATTTAGTTTAAAATCTATAATTGGTTCATATTGTTATACATGTTTACCTACAATTAACAAAATAATACTGGAAGGTTTATTAAATACCTATCTAAAGTTTGACTATAATATTATTATTTATCATATAATAAAATTCCATTGCCGTTTTACTGACTTTCTGAGTTAATTTTCCTATGACCTCATCTGTATTCTGTAGTAATTGCAATTTCCCGGTGGATATATTCAAAGCTGCTAAACCATTGAACCGAAACATTCTAACATTGAGTTTCTGAGGTAAATCTTAGGTCTTTTTAAAGTTATAAAATACCGATGAATGATGACCTTTCTGCTCCACGAGACGTCACCACAGGTAATGTCAAACGAATTATCAAAAGCTTATAATAATCATTAGGATCAAGGCCGTACCTGAATACAAAATTTCTAGGGGTCGATCCAACATTTTGTTAATAATATTGAGATAATATATAGATATATGTATTGAGCATTATTCATTGTTAAGTTCAAATTATAAAAACACTTTATTTTTGTTATTGCCTACCTATACCTACAGCATTAACGAAAATACAAAATTATATTATTAATACAAAAATCAATAAACAATATTCACCGCTAAAATTTTAAAAATTATCCAGAGTTACAGCCTTGATTAGGATACAGATAATTACCTATTGAATTAGTGACATTATTAATTACATCAATAGAAGTAGCCAGTAGGTATGCTGTACCCATTTTCAAATTTGTTTCAGCACTCAATATTTGAAAGTTTAGTGATGCTAAATATTACCTAATTTCAACTAGCAATTTTGATGGATATTTCAATATCGTCTAAATAAAATAATACTTAGTAAATTTAGTATTCAGTTAGATAGTGTTTGGCCACTTAAAAAATTATTTCAAATCCGTATACATACCTAGTTATAACAACTAATTTGGATGGGGTAACCTCATTTAACTACATTTACCTACCATAGAAAAAAAGTATTTTATGATTGAAAATCACTTATCATGATAATAATATTGAATATTGAGGGGGGAAAGTTTGCAGAGTAGTCAAGTACCTACCATGACTGAGTGCTCACCCTTATGGATATGATTCGAACCCCAATTACATGAATTTGTTAATTATGATTTGGGTTGTGTCTATTATCGTACGGTCTTGAAAATTCCTAAACTCGTGGCTATCATACGTCTTTACAGATTCCTATAATTGATCACCACCCGAATGTTATTTAAGTTGTTGATCACCTAATCCTATACTCATATAATAAATAGATAATTATGCTTATGATCTAATAATAATGATATAAAGATATAATAATACTATAACTATACTGATTATCATAATAATTTAAATGATTATTAAAAAGACAATAAATTGTGTTGAATGTACGATTTCAGGATTTAAATTAAAGTTGCACCATTTGAGTTTTACAATAGAGGTGCCAAAATTTAAGCTAGCCAAGTTTTTATTCATCGTTTTCAAATATCTAAGATTTAAACTATAAAAAAATTAAATCGATTGAAAGAAATGGGGTTTGTTTTGTAAATATTCCCATTTATTTCAATCATTTTGAAAAGTATTGGGAAAGACAAAGTTAAAGATGAATGTATTCTCACTGCTAAAAAACATGTTGAGTATAAATATTTTTAAAAGAACATCATGCTAAAATATTAATTTCTCATAATTTAATACGTCATGTTCAACACAACTTTTCAACTACAAATCACAATTTTCCAAACAATTATAGATAATAGATATCATGGTTTATATTATTATGGAAATAATTAAGACTTATCACTAGTTTTGGATAAGTTTTAGAATGATGTTTTTTTAAATTTTAAATTATTTATTAGGTATATAGAAGAGAAATATTGGAGGGATTGCTATTTAATACTTCAGTGCAGGTGAAAGATTAGTTTTAAATATGAACAGATTAAGTTAATTAAAGTGTAATATTTATTAAATACATATTGTCATTATTGATCATAAAAGTTCTAGATTAATAACCAATGTCATAACCTTCTCCATAAACAATAAAAATGAACACTGTTTATTACATTACAGAAAATAAAATAATAATAAATAGTTGCTGATACAAAAAACAACAAATTTTATTTCACACATTAATATAATGCGAGATTTATTATTTATTTCAAACACATTTTTATTATATTCTATTAATTTAAATTTGAGCAAAACAAACATTTTGCTTTATAGATTTTTGCTTTTGCAAAGTTTTGATGATGTGTTTTGATTCCAGGCATATATACCATTACCACGAGGATACTAATAAATAAATATACTAAATTAAATTTAAATATTAAATTTTCATGTTTTACAAATAAAATAAAATAATGTGATGTAGGTACACACGAACATAGGTTATATAAAAATCTGGATACTTTTACAGAATACTTCATATTATATAACAGTAATCTATCATGATAAAATCTCCTAAGATACTGAATACAAAATAAAAAAAAAAATTTGAAACCTAAATCAACTACTTTGTTGAAATTGTTTTTTTTTTTATATATATAATTGGATCAGTCATCATATATTACGCTCTAAACATAAATACATATTACATACTAAAAAAATATTTGAGTATATTAGAACAATAAATTGATATAAAAAACAATAATTCGAGTTATTATTATGAAGGAGATTTTAAATTAAACTATAAATAGTTTACATAAACCACAACCGCAGTAGGACAATGCAAATTAATATTTTCCAATTATTCATCCATATTTTAATATACAAGTTATGAATCAGTATTTTAAAATCAACACAAAATAAATTGTATAACTACTATACATTGTTGTACCTAGTGTTCAACATCATATATAAATAATTAGATAATATCAATATACATTTTATTTTAAATTAGTGTTGTTATTTTCTAAAAATATAAAATATAAATATGCTTAAGTTGACTGAATATGATGTATATTGTATATATTAAACTCATTTGTATGTGACTAAAATAACGAAAGAGTTCTATATAATTTGTGAATAATAACAATAATAATAATAATAATAATAATAATAATAATAATAATAATAATACTAATAATAATAATAATAATAATAATAATAATAATAATAATAATAATATAAGAAACTTAAAATTCAAAAAAAAAAAAAAAAAAAAAAAACAATGGAACAACAAATTAATGTAATATTTTAAAGTTACATAATTAATAATTGAGCCAACATAGGCATTAAGTTCCAACTAAAGTATATGTTATGTTAATATATAATCAGATTCATTATAAATTGTTATTATATGGAGTATTGTCATTGTGAATGAAATGTATGATTAAATAAATGCATTTACCTATGTTTTATAACTAAATGCATTTTTAATAAGAAATATTCTATCAGACATAATATTTTATGAAAATTATTTTTATGAAAAAAACCTTTTTTTTTTTATCTACTTCATGAATTGTATACAACAATATTTTAGGTTTATATTAGATTTAGTAATATTTTAATTTTCTTTAGATAAAAACATTTAATTTAATAGTTAAATATCAATTCAAATAAATGTTTTTATGGAGGCACTTTTTTTTACCTCATACTTTATTCCATTATAAATTAAACTACATCTATTTTATCTTTATTATGATAAAGATGATATTGAATAATGATTATAAATTAAAACTCAAAAAGTTAAAAACATTAGTTTTTCTATAAAAAAATATTGAGCAAACAAAGACCACTTTTTTTTTTTAATAAAAAAAATGTAGATTTATACTTATTAATATTTAAGAAGTAGTTGAAAATTCGAGAATAATTATTTGTAAACGATTCATATTGTTTGAGTAAAATATGGTTAAACAATAAGAAAAAATACAAAAGTTATAAGACTATACCAATCCATGTACTAATATTGTTGGGGTTTACAGTATACACTTAAAATATTTCTAAGATTTTTATAAAAATTAAATAATATCTATAATTATCTAAATGTGATTGTGAGCGTTAACAAAAAAATATTTATTTTATAAGTACTTAAAATATATAGCTTACATTAATACATAGGTAAAAAAATATGGTAAAATTCTCAACAATTCTTTGTGTCCTAAAATAAGGTAATTTTTTATATACCCAAGAGAATATAACTACTTAACGTAAACAATAGTTTAAAGGTATCACTAAGCTTCTATCATTTTTAAGCTGAAAGTGATACAATAGATCAAACATAAAATTTCAATTCTAATATAATATCACAAAGCTTTTACATTTAAGGCTTTTCGTCTATTTTGCTTTTTGAACCAATTGAATATTAGCTGAACAATAATTGGCCAACCAAGTAGGACTACAATCTGGAATAAATTAAAGTATAAAGCTTGATAATGTTTTCGTTCTCTTGTTTTTTTAATCTGAAATAAATTTTATAAGTTATTGCCAAACATTGTTTAAATTAATTTAAATACATAATACACAATACAATACATTTTTATTATACCTCATCTAATTTCAGTTCTATTTTAACAACTCTATTTGTTATAATATCCAGATCATACTTCATAGTTGATACCGTATTTCTTATTTGTAATTTAAATTCATCTAAAACTATAAAATACAAACAATATAAAATTATAATTATATTATTGCTATAAAGTGATAATTTAATACAATATACTAACAGTCATTTGCACATTGTAACTGTATCATACTATTCCCATTTTGTTGAGATATTGGAATGCAATTGTCGGATACAAAATCTTCAATGTAGTCACTGGAACTTAAATATTGATTAACTGTTTGAACATTGATCAAACGCTCTCCACTTGACTGAAATTAATAATACAATAATGTATCATTAGTTATCATTTATCAGTGAGGACTCAGAAGTTATAGGAACTAAAATAAACAAAATATGCAACACCGTGTTAAATATGTAAAAAAAAAGATATGATTAAAAGTTTAAATAGAATCAAATACAATCTTACACGTTGATTTGACCTAAGCATTCAACATTAAAACTATTATGAGGTTAAGGGGCCCAGTACCGATTTACACGGATTTACATTAAGTTTCCACAATATAGAATTATTCTATACAATTTTAAAATTATATTTTATATTGTAGTTGCTTTCTTATTTGGTTAATTCTACAAGACAGGATCATTATTCTCGTAGAGTAGAACATTTTATTTTTGCGGACAAAATTAACTTAATACCAGGCCGCCTTAAATAAAATTATTGATTTTCGGCATGATATAAAATATTATTTAATGCATTATTTATGTTATTAACATTGAAAAAAATGTAATTTTTGTGTTTAAGCTCCTAATCTAAAACTGAATATGTTAAAAATAATGAAACAATTGTTTCAATTATTTTGAAATTATTTAGGTTTATCAATAATATAAGGTCTAACAATTATTTAAGTTTATCTACAATTGTTTAACAGGTACAAGTTTAAATGATTATAAATATAATATTCAAGATTGTATTTAACATTATTTTTATGTTTAGATAAACATTTACACATTCAAGTACCTATGCTTTTGATATTATTGTTGTAGTTATTTAATATATTCACAAGAAACAACAATACAATATATTTGTATACAATGTAAATTGTTTAATTAAATTTAAGTATTATTTTTCAATTAAATTAAATTAAAACATTAATTTTTCAAATTAATTCTGATTTGTATACATCCGAATTCCCCTTTATAGCTGTCACAACCCAAAACCTAATCCGATTGGAAACACTAGACTACTAAATATTTATCTGATGTCCTGACAGACATTCTAGGACTTTGTTAACTTGCATTAACTGGTTATTCTTGTTTGGATAATTACATTGTAAAATTGCATTTGACTAAGAAATGTACTTATGCAATACTGACCAAATTGTTTACTTCCAATACATCATGGAAACATTCTTCATCTATTTCTGTGTCTGCTATATCTTGATGCTCATTTATTGAAATTAAACTGCAACTATTTTTTTCTGTAAAAATAAAAAAGTAATAGTACATCTTAATAACAATTTCATAGGACAAAATACTATAAGATCATAAAAGTTATAACCATGATTATTACTATTATTATTATTAAATATAAATCCAATTGACAATTTTAACAAACACCACATTTTTAGAGGTTGTTATAGTAAAAACATTTGATTATAAATTAGGGTTTTATGGTATAGGTATAATAGGTTTTTGCAATATTTGAGAAGAAGAACTTAGCTGATTTATGAAAAGTATAATATTATCTAGATTTATGTTTTTAAATTTAATCAAGTACGCATATTTATACTCTGTTCAAAATAAGAAACCTAGACGGCGGCAAGCTACTGCGCAGGGGCTTGGCTAGACTAATAGCACGGACATAAATCAATGCCACCGCAGCGCTTCGGCGGGAGCGACTCATTAGTCTATCTGTGATAAGTGACATGAACACATAACTTAAAACAATATTATTTGAAATTCAACGGAAAGGCGCGTACATGCAAAAACCTGCCACCAGCTGCGTCGCATGTAGTCGGCCGAGCTGGTGAGCAGATGGTTGATTTGGTGGGGAGATCAATGGGCGTAGTCTGACCGCCGCCCGACAAAAACTGGTCGCCGCCGTCTAGGTTTCTTATTTTGAACAGATTATAGTTACAATGGAAATTATGAAATTTTGATAACTTCAAGAACTTTATATTTAAAACAATATTAAAAAAATTGATTTATTTCAATATCATTAATGGTATTAACCTACATATTTTACAATCACCGTTTTCTATTTTATTTAAATATTGAATGAATATACCTATTAAATTGCCTCGTTCAATTGGACCAACTACCATTTCTAAGTCATCAATGGAAACTGATTCATAAAATGAATCCAAGCTAGACACAAAATCAGCCACAGGATTTGTATAAGCCATAGTTTCTACAATCTGAAAATTTAAATATAACATGGAAAATAAAATATGTAGTTAACAATACAACATTTCTGAGAAGCCAGATACAAGTACAATATAATGTTAAACTACAGTTAAAATGCCTGTTTTTAATATAATTTTAGATTCTGAGCGGAGCGAGGAAGCTAGTGGTTTTACAATGGTGTTTGTTTTTATTTTAATTTATTTTTTTTTATATCCTGTATACAAAATTTCTTTCAGAAGCTTCGATTTCAACATAAAGTACCTTATATCTTAGCAAATTGGATCAAGATCGTACTTTAGAGAGGTAATTTTTCGATTTTCTCATTAGTTATTTAATACCAAGGGAAAAATTACTGACAAACTACAAAAAACCGCTGAAAATGGGATTTTAATTTCTAACGATTTGTTTATCACCGTAGTAACGAATAAAAAATTATAACATTATACTATTAATTCAACTTAAAAACCATAATAAATAATAAAAATTTAAAAAATCCAGACTGATAATTGATAAACCGTCTCCGCTCAGAATCGTTTTTCTTATACAATGATATTATATCATTGAATTCAAGTTTAATACAATCCATTATACATTGCCCCTCTTTTAATTTACTGTAAAGCAGAGCGACATTCATTTACCTGCTTTTTAACTACAATAAATATAATTTATAAGTTATATAATGTATTATATACCTACACATACATATATTATACCGTGTGTAACAGAAAGAACTGACAAAAAAAAAAAAAAATTGATGCTACTTAAATGTATGACAAAAATTGTTGAAATTATATGATTAGTAAATAGTTTTAAGAATATACCCATGTTATAAAATTTCCAAAAATAATATTTTTAAAAAAGCTATTGCGTTCCAAATTTATTTTATCAAAAAAATATTGATATTTAAAAAAATTCTAAAAAATAAACTACTAGACTTAGATAAATGTTTTTACCATCCAAATCGTTCTTATAATCAGATTCACAAGTTTGCTATTTTGAATTTAATCAAAAAAATTTAAGTCAAATTTAAAATTTTTTATTTTTAGTATAAAAAAATAAAAATAATTTTTTTCCTCTTACACGTGTAGAACAAGTGGCTATAAATTATATATAAAAAAAAAATTAAAAATAATGATCATAACAAAAGTTATTCCAAAAGTCAGTTCTATCTGTTACACCCTGTATATTAAATACACAATACAAATATTTTTCAACATAAAATTATAAAAATAATGGATTAAACATTTTGGTTTAATTAGTCTTTGTAAAATTGGATTTAATTAGAAAATTTAAAAAATAAGAAAATTAGTAAATCATCAATTTAAAAATATATTAATCTCAGCCCATAAGATTTCAATATTAAATGTATTTACAAATTTTGAAATATACATTGCAAAAACTTTTTATTTGTTATAATATTATTATTATAGAAACACAATTTGTTAAGGATTCAAATCATTATTAATCAATCATAGTACATAATATGTGTAACAATTTTAAAAACTATCTGCAAACTATTCAATGATTAATGTTAGTTTTTTACAGTACTTAGGGATTTTAAATATGTTACATATAAGCTGATATAACACTAGATAATCCGAACAAAAAGTTACTAAAATGAAACAGTAATATTATATAAACTTTAAACATGGGTACACATTTATATTAATTATTATTAAATTACTTTTCTATAACTACCTTTTTTAACTCATCAACATATTCTTGCATTGCATTCTCTTTTGACATATCTCCTAAATTATACCAAGCTTGCCATTTTGCTCGATTAACAACATCCCAAAAGCTGGGTTTGGGCTGATTGTTAGGTCCTATTGTTGCTTGTTTGAAATATGCATAAAAACGAAGCAGGAGATCCTTGGATGGTTGGTATGCACCTAAAAACATTTAAATGATAAAATAATGCAAATATTTAAATAACACACAATAAACTATAGTAAAATGTAGGTTATCATATTTAAAATGTAGGTTTATCATATTTAAAATGCATTTAGCAACAAAAAAAAAATAAGGAATATATTATCATAGATTTATATTGACTTAAATCGAAAATCAACATTTCATAAACTAAATTTCTAAAAAAAGTAATTTAAATTATAATTTTGTAACTAAGTATTTTTTAAGAACTAATTGACCGTTCATCGTCAGTAACTGACGTTTTTTGGAGGGCGATAAAATATGATGCCTCGGGGCTCAAAATGTTCAAATACCGCCCTTGCTTATGAATTTTATGAATATTTAAATTATGAAGATTCATTATAAAAATTTGTTAATACTAAAAGCTGGTTTGAAATTTGAATTAAAAATGATGTTACTTTTTAACAAAATGTAAAATGTATAATTTTAAAATATTATTAACGAATTTATTAAATTATATTTTGTTACATTTATACTAATTATGTATTTGGAATTGAGCAATAAAGTAATAAACTATGAAATTTTCGATATGGTGAATTAAAATATTTAAATTATTACTTATACATAATATAGGTAGGGTATAAAAAAGGTGGTGGGGAGGGGGGTGTAGTCTAAAAATTATTATTTTATTATTATTTTTCTGTTCCATTCCTGAGTATATATTATATTAATTTTATTGTTTAATAGACATAATTATTTAATAATATATAAGATATCAATGTCCAGGAATCTTTAAAAAAAATAGTATTATGACATTAGCCAAGGGGGTGGGGGGTCCAGACCCAGAGTTCACAGCCCCTAGGTGCACCACAATTGTAGTATAAGTTATTTAAGTAATATTAAATAGATTAGGTATTTTTAATAGTGGCCATAGGAGGTGATTTTACTGTTCATACATAGTAATATGATGATGATTCCATAAGTGGAAGAAACAATTTTTATTTTGATTTTTGAACATCTATTGGCATGCAATAAATATCTTAATATTTATTTATAAAAAATATTTTACTCCATATTTATTTATTAGTTTTCTTTAGTTATAAATTCTTACAATAACCATACATTTCGATGTTTTACATCTGCAAGAGTTACTTTTTAAAATATATATTTCTATAAAATAAGTCATCAACAATTACATTATTTGCATATTATATGCCTATATGGCTATATTCTATACATACCTATTGGTCAAAGGTGAAAATTCAAATAAAATGGTTTTAAATAAAACCAAAATTACAATAAGTTCATAAGATCAATAATTAATTGACAGTTGAATTTAATATTATTGAATAAATTATAGAAAAAAGTCAAACAAAAAATAAAAAATAATTTTTTTAAATTATAAACAGAAATGCTTTAAATATTTAAAACAAAGATTGCAACAGTAGTCTTTGATATTAAAGTTGTGTTTTCACTGTTTTTGTTTATACAACTATACAACATATAATAAACTATACTCATATTTTGAATGATGATTACTACTGATATATTCAACAACAAACTTAAACATTTTTAAAATTAGATATATTTGGTAGGTACTTTTTGGGGGATTAAAAAATAAAGACTTTCAAAACTTTTTAAACTAATCCGAAAACAACAACAAACAATTTTGGCAAAAATAAGGGAATTTTTATAACAAACCAGTTTTTGAAAAAGTCGATTTTGATTTTTCATTATAATTAAAAAATAAATGATCGCCAAGAGTTGAAATTTTTACTATATATTTAAATTAGCATTAAATTGACAAGATATTTAAAAAAATATTTAGGCTTTGCTTGTTTTATTGAAAGATATTTAAAATTATTGGCTTTTTATTCGATAATAAAATTGAAAATATAATCAATTCAAAAATGTTAAAAATACATATGTAGCCACAATTTGTCATTGATGTTCAAATTTTGATAAAATGTTCTATAGAGTGTAGGCATAAACATGAAACATGGCAAATGGCAAAGTAATTCAAAATACCTCTATGACAGGTGATGAAAAAATAATAAAAGGGAACTTTTAATGGAAAACAATTGTGGCAAAAAAAAAAAAAATCAATTTTTATAGACAAACAATTTTAAATCTTAGATAAATAATAGGTAATCTGTTTATTGTTTAGTAACTAAATGCTTAGCAAATTTCTAAGATAAATCTTAATTTTCAAATGTAGAAAAAAAATATTAATTTTATTGTAAATCAAAGCTAGGTACCTACTATTACCTACATTCGGATAATGTTTCTTTTTAAAAATATGCAATACCTGTACATAAACTGATAACTGATAACTGATTTACTTTGAACATAAAAATGTGTATAAAACAGTAATAAAAACATGTGGGTAATTTTATAAATTAGTCAACCACAAAATGTTGCTACGTAACTACCAACCGCAGGGTACCTTATTACAGTTTTAAATTTTCAATATTAACTACCTATTTCTTTTATCAATGTAATAAACTAATATATTAATGCTATATTGCATAAAAAACGATTAATTTAATGGTTCACCAACATTTAATGGATTAATCATGAGCCACTAAATCTTGTTTATTAGCTCACTATTGATTCATTAAATTTTAAGTGATTGTTTGTGCAACCCAGCATAAATATAACAAACAAGAAAATATAGGTTTTTATATTGAACTAAGTGTAGAGCATAAAATAAATTGTTTAAAAACAGGGCTTGCAAACGTTATGATTATAACGTTATATTTGACAATTAATAACGATTGAAATTTGTAAAAGTAATTATAACAGAAAGTGATAATCAAAAATAATTAAATACCGCAAAACAAAGCATAATGAATAACAAAATATATAATGTATATCATTAAACAAAAAATATCCCAAAACGTAATTTATAGAATATCATTAAACGAAAAATAAAGCAAAACAAAATTATTTGAAAATTTAAAATCCATTTATTTAAAAGTAGGTATATTGGTTTCGTAGAAATATATTTTATTTCATGCTATTTATTTTTGTCTTAGAAAAAAATTTAAGAATAGATTATATTATATTCCGCATCCGGGACATTACTTACCCGCATTTTTTTGGAGTTATTGATAACTTTTAAATTGAATGGCAAATAGCAAATACCTAGTATAATAATAATAATAATAATAATAATAATAATAATAATAATTATTATTATTATTGATAATGATTAATGATACTACAATAATTGTGCTGTAGGAGTAGGTATAGAGTATAGACTTATTTTAAATTCACTCTGTACTTTGTCTACTCTGTAGTCTGTACTACATTTTTTTTCAAATGCTGGCCCTGTTTAAAAGTAAAAAAAAAATAATGACTTAGGTACCTACCACTTGGGTACCCGTTGGATGGTAAATTTAATAATGTTTTTGTCTTAATCTAATATCTATATAAAATGTCTAATCAATGTATTGATTGGCTCAGTTATTTTAATTATTTTAATTTAATAACAAATAGGTACAAATAATGCAAGTATACAATGGTCTGTGTGCTGCCTATAAACAAATCGGGTTGGTGGGTGTAAAGTTTTGAATATTTTTAAATTATAAATCACCCATACCTACTTAATAAATAACTAAAAAAAAAGTGGTCTGCACTCTGCTGGCCCCCAAAAATATTCTCAGCCCACATAATATACTATATTAACATACGCATAAAGCGTGGTTCACATTCTTGAAAAATGTATACATAATATGCAAATGCAAAATCTATGTGTATAACACTCACCATTTTTTGGCAAACTCCTGATGACGTTTATAGCAGCCGTAAACTTTTCTTGCGTGGACATCGCTACTACTCATGTAGACAAAAACAAAAGAAATACCCGTAGCGCACTAGCGCAAGGGGGTTTTTATTGTAAAGAAAATACCTGAGAACGAATATGAAAAACGACAATACGAACGTTGAACCGTCTATTTTTTTTTCATTTTATGATAATTATTATTATTACAATTCGACGACACTAAATTTATGATAATCACTTTCGAATAAACGCACAGACCATCGGATTCAGAGAAAATGACGTTGGAAGAGTGTACCGGCCGATCAAGGGCACCATTCGTGTTAGTTGCATTAATTGAATTATACATTTCATTATAAAATTGTTGAAATAATAAAACGTTCCTTTACATCAAAAGGTATTACGGAAATAGGCGATAACAACAAACCATGATAATATTAATAGTAATAATAATACCTGATGTTAATGCGCAATACTGACCGATTACGACTCTGAAAATGTGATAATAATTGCTCTATCATATGATAATGATAATATTGTTGTGATCATTAATTAATATACATTATTAACAACTATAGTAATTATCATTTTCCGGGCCCACAAGGCCGGATTTTATTTTTCTTGATTTAAAAATTTGTCCATAGACAAAATATCAAACTTAAGTAAGATGTCCGAGAGGCGCGGAGATCGCGATGCAAATAGGCGACGTATCAGTTTTCGCTATTGCCCGACCGTGTTATCGCAATTATTTTTTCGGTACTAATTGTTATTTTCACGATTTCACGGTATGTCCTCTGATTAGTCGAATTAATGATACGAACAATGTTGGTAAATTATTGAACACCGCGTCAAAAAATTATATTTCGTTCTCGAACAAAAATAAATAAGTTATTAATACGAATTAATAATTAATAATATAACAAAATATAATGATTACCTAATACCTATGTATATCAATTATTAGGAGCCATCAATTTATTAATTTAAATTTTAAATTATAATATAATTTATCTACATTGCTACATAGGTACCTACTATAGAATGCAGCCACACAAATCTAACAAATGTATTTATTTAAATAAAAACCGGTCTTGTATGTAAAAGTACATACATATTACATTTATAATAATTACTATATTTTTCCAACATGAGTATTAGCCTCATATTTTAGAATTTAAAACTAACTGTGAGTTTTTCTCGAATTGAATTAGAATAGGTAGGTACTCTCATATTGCAATTTTACAAAATGAAACTCCAGAAAATTGAAGAATGTTTTTGTATACCTATTTAATTTAAAATAGCCTTGATGATGATTTTGAATTCGCTGATTATATAGGTACTAAACAATTATATATCGTCCTGATGCTGAGTTTCCACCGATTTTATGGGCAACTAAACCTTCGACGGAGGCAATAACTACCAATGAGCCAGAATCTTTCCATAGCCATAATTCGCAGTTTATACATCTCATCCATTTATTCACCAAGTCATACATCTTTAAATAGTTTATTAGGTATTCAAAGTGAATCTTATTAAAAAATTATTATAGTATAAAACAACACAATCCTTGTAAAGAGCAAGGAGAAAATACTACGTTTAAATAATTAATACGTGGAAAAAATATAAAAGTAATGAGATCGTATATAGGGGGGGAGGACCCCTAGGCCAGAGCACATAGTGAAATAAAATTGCAGGTTCAATTAAAACATTTCATGTATATTTACACTGTTTAGGGTTTACAGTTTTTCACCATGATTAAGTTAGCCGGTTGATTAGAATCGTTTTGAGGAATCAACAAGGAAATGTTAGATTGTCAGGACTTGCTTTGACGACTTTGACGTGTTCAATTCACAGTAATGCAATATTATAATTTATATGTATATATGAAATTGTGGATATTAAAAAAGAATTAAAAAATTAATTTTACATAATAATTATAAAATTAAATTGCTCAATTTTTATTTGCATTTATAACCACCCAGCCCCCTAAAAAATGTATAGTTATGGCTATGTTAGTCGCTATGCTGACTAGTGATAAATTGGCTCATAGTGAAAATAATTTGTATATACCTACGCCACGTTTAAGGCTAAAAAGTTATAAGAACTTGATTTTTGTTATTTTATAATTATTTTTTTTTGGCAAGTAATAATTGCCATGTATTATAATTATTTGTTTTTGACCATGTTTACGTATTAAGTTATTATTAATGTTGGGAAATTTATTAAGTCTTATAAACTTAATTTATGTTTTAATTTGTATTTTGTTTCATGTATTTATTATATACCTACTAGGTTTTGATAATGTAAGTAAATCATTAAAGATATTATAGGACAATTTTTAATTTATTTAAATCCAACAATATAAAATACCCATTTGTTCTGCGCAATCGTTGTTGGTTTTCTCAATTATAAAAGATAAAAAGTGCGCAATCGTGTTCTGTTTTTTTCATGTAATTATGTAAATACGTAAAAAATTCGCAATTGTGTTACACCCGAAATGACCATGTGAAATATCCAGTGGCGTTCACACGGGGGGGGGGGTGTTCAACCCCCCCCCCCTTTAGTATTTTTCAAGGCTGGGCATTAACGAGTTAATAAGTTAAAGTTAAGTTAAAAAGTTAAGTTACTTTTAACTAAATTAATTAACGAGTTACTTTATTTTTAGAAGTAACTTCTAACTTAACGATTTACATTTTTCCCCATGTTATTCAGTAACTTAACGAGTTAATTAATTTTATTGGCACGTTAAGTTAATTTTTTCCCAAACCACATATTATTTAAAATTAATTCAATTTTGTAAAATTAATTACATTAAAAAAAAACCCGAAATATTAAATATATTTTATTAAATAATAATTTATTTATAATCATAGTAAGTTTTTATATTGCATATTCACAGAAAATATTTTATAACTATATTATAGAGGGAAATATCATAGGGGTAACCGCGTCAAAGAAAAATATAAAAATTTACTCAGTACCTATCCCATACACGACATATTATCACCTAACCTATACCTAATCATTATTAATATCATTACTTATTATTATATTTTTATTCATTCATAGAATTACGGTGATAACTTGGGCCCGTCGATGTAAATAATACCCGTAGTAGCGTGGTATTTACTATTTACCTAATTAAAGTATAATACACAAAATTAATATAAGTACCTACAGTAACTAATTTTATTACAAACATTTATTCAAAATATTGTAAGACATTTTTTGATTTATTGAATTATTATGTTATTTGTTAGCTTTAAAAAAGGTAGGTAGGTATAATTGTTAATTTTATTTTAAAAAAAAGTAACTTATTTTTAACTAAGTTAAGTTACTTTTATTTTCTAATTAACTTGTAACTTTTACAAGTTAAAAAAAAAATGAAGTTAACTTTTAACTTTAAACTTAACTTACATTTTTCTATATTAACTTAACTTAACGAGTTAAAAAAAATTGTTAACTTGCCCAGCCTTGGTATTTTTTCAGTTTACGTAGTAACGTAAAAATGTATAATAAAAATGATGACAATTTAAAAAAATATTATATTCCAAATTATACTCCATTATATTATAACTTATAAGCAACCCAGTTTGTTGTTATAATATATTGTAGATATTATTGATAACTTGTTACAAATTAATGAAATTATTGGGAAATTTGTTCAAACACAAACATGAGGGTCGACAATCGTGTAATCCGATATAATATGCCTTAATAGCTATCGCAGTATCGCTAATACTATAGTATAGAATCTATTTCTCAGTTTTCAATCAAATTCCTGACGCTTTGGACGTTTAGTAAATTGTACTTACGACTTACCTACTGTTTAAATATTTTATAAAACAATAAAAATGAAAAGAATAAACGAATATTTTTCTAACTCACTAATTTGTGATACAATTAACTCGGAGGAACCAGGTAAATATTTAATACATTATATTATCAACCTAGGACCTAGGTACAAAAAAATGATTAATATGGTAAAAATAAATTTCTCTTTATACCTATCTTTTATTGAATTGTATATAATATATTATTATATACATATTGTATGTACGCGTGTAACTTTGTAGTTATACTAAATAATTACCTGTAGGTAATAGGTATATATTTTTTAAATAATAATCGAGAATTGTAAAAATATTTTTAATTTCACCTTAAGTCATTGCTAATGAGCCGATTACTCATTAGTCATTATGTACAAAATAATTACTATAGGTACATCGTTTTGATTCATCAATGTATTATATATATATATATATATATGTATATAATTTTTTTATATGTAAGCCCCCCCCCATTGAAAATAGCTGTGTACGCCACTGGAAATATCACAAATTAAAAATGATCACATCTCCCATGAACATAGGTGTAACTAGTGCTGGGGGCTTATTATACTATCACCGTCCTTTGATCTCAATAAGTAGGTACAACGGTTCTGTGCTTGTGACTGATGGTTATTAATTCTTATTCTAGTCAATGTCGTTATTATTATTATAATAAATTAGTCAAATTATTTTTTCTCGTGTTTTCAGGCTTAATTAAACTGAATTCAAATCAGAAATGTAAAATGTTGGTTAAATAATCAATTATTAATCATTTAATTATATCGTCATTTAACAATCGCCAACGTCAAAACGTCTAAAGAGTACCTATTGTTAAAAAATCTGTTTTTCCAAATTTATATGCAGAAGTGTTGCATTTATAATTTTCGGTTCCAACAAGTTCAGTATCTAGTGAAAGATAATTTTCAGCAATGCGTTGAATACATACTGATACATATAAGAGAAACTATATTACCAAATCGATTCTGTATTAAGTATGTTATAATATAGCTATTGAGACATTAAAAAAATTTCCAACACAGTACTTAGTGAGCAGAGGCTTAAAATGTAATGACTAGTCACTAGTGTATTATTGTTATGTTGCCCTAATCAATTATTTAACTTTCACTAATATTATAAAAAAATTAAAAACTTGAATTTGTTGGTAACTAAAATAACATAGGTACTATTTTAATAATTTAATGTTTACCTACTTAATGTCCACTTTTTTATGATTCTTATTATACACACAGTATAATAATAATTGGCTTCTTAAATTACATTATTTCTCTGTTTTGATTTTATAAAATTTATTGATTGAAAAATTTCATTTTTACAACTTTATGCTGGCGCCAATTATAATTTGGACAGTTGGTTTGGGGATGGCTAAAATAATATAAGAGGCACCAACCTATAGGGATTTTTACAGTACCCCTTGTAGTCATTTTTAAATTAATTGTACAACACAATAATTTAGTTAGGTACTATACATTACTCATCAGCAAACAACAAATACTTAATGTACCAATACAACAGAACCGTGTCAAGCAATTCAGCTCCCCTTCCCTAAAATTTGGGTCCCAGGTAGCATATTAAGAGCAAATAAAGGCAATTGCCCCCTTTGAAACCCCTAACATGGCTCTGCAATACAATCGGGGCCGGATTGGTATATATCGGCCCATTTACATATTCACTGACTCAAAATTATGTCTAAAATTATTAGTAGCTTATAGGTGGTCAATCGTATTTTAAACATGAATTTATTTTCACTCAACACTCACACGACTGGCTCAAACTTTAAGCGATCCACCGAGATTTTCTCGGCCTAACCAATCCGACCCTGCACAATATAAAAATTAAACTTAATTGGAAAAATAATTAAATATATTTAGTCTGTGCTGTTCAATTGATATATTCTGTATTCAACATTTATCAATACATACTAAAATTTATTTGGTTTTTACAAAATATTAGTTGATAAATATAAATTATAAACAAATAACATACATAACATATTAAATTTGTATCATTTATATCATATTTTAAACACAAATAAAAATAATAATAATTGATATTATTTATTATTATACTCGTTTAGATTGTACCTCGTGAGTGGCTTGCTCCACTCTAAAGGTTCCGGTAGTAGATTCGGTCGAAGAAGCTTCTAATTGCCACATATGAAAACTGACTAACCTAAGTTGAGCCTATGGTTAACACAAATATTGAGTGTTTAAAGAATTTTCACAAATTTTTTTTTAAAATGCAACATATTGCATAAATTAATTTATGAAAAATTGAAAAATGATTTAAACATTTTTGCTTGTCGTTAAAATTTGGCCAATGTGTCACCTATGGCACAGATTTGTAACCCCTGTTACAGTACATATTTTACGTCATGTATCGAATCAGATTTTACCCAAGCCCCTCTAATTGAACATATGATTAGGAATCAGCCTTTATTTATTTGTAATAAAATACAATTTCACATTTCACTAATAATAATTTTAATGACTAATTTAAAATTTAATTAAAAAACAAATTAAAATCAATACAAATTAAGTAAATTTAACTTTTGAGCCTCTGGTTTCCATATGATAGGTCTATTTCCAAACCAATTAGAGGACTAATAGTACTTAACCATGCTATTAGGGGATTGAACCTAAACAAATAAACATGGTATTCATAATTAATTATAGTCATACATTAATAAATAAAGTATAATTCAAAATAATGTACACATAAATTTGTAGAAATGTAACAGGCATACCTAAATGATAAAATGTATATTATTTAATAATCATTTCTTAATTTAAAAACCTTCAACTTACTCATAACTATTTTTTGAAGAAAAACCTAACATTTCCAAAACATGAGTATTCTTACAAGGGTGTAATCTGAAAAATGGTGTATTAGAAAATGGATGCATCTAAAACAGTAATAATTTGATTATTGCACAAGTTTTGATTTAAAGTGAATTTCTAATTAAATTAAAACCTCTTGAGTTATAGCATTCCACTTGTCATGGGCTACATTTTGTTTTAAAAAAGAATGTACCAAAGACCACACATGTTCTAATGAAAGTAACTTCCCATCTAAATATGAAATTAAATTATTTCTATCAAATTTTAATTTGGTAAATATTTCATAAATTACCAGTATACCACATATTAAAGAACACATCTGGGCACGAATAACTTGGATTGTACAATATGTGATATTCACAAACAATTGGAATTTTGTCTTCCGTAAGAGAATCTAAAAATAAAACTCTTTAATTACAATATCTATTAATTTATTATTTTAATATTTTAAGAGAATGTCAGCGCACTATTTGTTTTCTCTCTCTGGCCCACGAGCGACATAGACAAAACGCATTAAAGCAGATTTATTTTTTCTATGTTTTTAAGTAATCTTAGAGTAAAATCACCCATTACAAAAAAGATAAAGGATAATATTTTTGAGGAAATGACATATCGATTTGTCTAAATATTGTATCAAAATAAATTTAAACATAATTTAAATGTACAAAATTTTTTTGTTTATTTTGAAAGTCGAATACAAAGTCAAATAATAATAAAATATAAAATCGATATGTCATTCTCTCAAAAATATTATTCTCTATATTTTTTGTAATAGGTGATTTTACACTAAGATAACATAAAAACACAGAAAAAATGATTCTGAGGTAATGTGTTTTGTCTATGTTGCGTGTGGGATAGAGAGAGAAAACAAATAGTGTACTGACATCCAATTAAATTTTATTCAGAGATGGCCATAATTAAGCTACCTTATAAAATGGCAAATAAAAATATCTAAGGTGTATGAAAAATTCCCTTCAAATAAGCATGATTTAATAGTAGTGACGAGTGACGAGTGATAATATACATACAAAACAGTTATATTTTATTTTAAAAAGTAATATTGCTCAAAACAGAAAAACAAATTTGGTTAGAACTAAAGCTTTTCAAAAATGAGTATATACACATCTTATTATCAATAAAAATATGGATAACATGTAAAAAAAATGTATCCAGTTGCAATTCAATTATACATTATTAACAACTAATATAATGTGTAACAAATATTAGTATAAGACTAATATTGTAACATATTTTCAGAAATGAGGTAGGATAGAATATCAAATTGAGATTTTAATTATAGAATGTATATTATGTCATATTATAACTAGTGAAATTTAAATAAATATTTCTATAACAATATTATCATTGTGACATGGTCGCGAATAAAAGTCGATAAACTAACCTGAGTGGATAGATTTCAATGAAGATTTATATTTTTTTTGTATCTCCTTTTTTACTAGATAATTAATAAAATTTCCTTTCTACAAAAAAAATATTAGACAAAGTAATTATTTATGTAATAGGTATTGAATGTTTTATAACAGGTTGTGATTAAATTGTGTGTAAAAAACGGTTGTTTTGTTGAATTAATTTAGGAATTATTATGGTAAAAAAATAATGTAAGCTAGCTTTTATTACCATTGGACATTGGTGTTGGTGTAAATTCCAACCGTCATCTATCGAGTCTGAATGATTTTTTAAATCTGTAGCGTACTCGACAAATTGTTGGTATGACATGCTCATGATTTGTGACTCCACAACAATAACAATATAAGATGAACACGCCAATTCAATAACTTTTGTAGAAAACTGCGATGCAGACTGAAATCATATTATTACATAGTTCGGTTTCACTCTGGTCGGACGCGCTCGTTCAATACTTGTCGAGAAAACTAAATAAAGTCCGTCGTCGATAATTTATACAACGCATTATGACAATTTGTGAGGTACGAATGTATAATGTACGAAATCTAATTCCAAGAATAAAAATCCATGATGAATTTTACAATAAATATTAATTAATACGTACATCAAAATATTCGAAAAATCGAAACCTTGGTGTCACGGACAGTCGTTTTTATCACTATACTTTGTCAGTCGAAGTTGAAATGATACCACAGAATATACAGATTTGATTATCTATAATTCATTATCTGCGGATGATAAGCCCACCGGCCACCGCAGCTCTAACGCCGAACCATAGATAATATTTTATTATCTATGCGTCGAACTCGCTCGACAGAATATCACTACAACTGACTGAAAGATATTGAACTTGGCCACCGGGCGGTGGCCGGTGGCAGTGGTTTATCCAAATGCCGTTTTTCGTGGTGCCGTGGCCGTTTTGGATGGTCAGTTACCTCACAAATGATATTAAGTTAACAGGGGCCCATACTACTCATAGCGGCGTCGGCGAAGACGGCAGCGGCGGCGGCGGCGGCGGAATTGTACTGCACTGCCGTGTACGCCAGAAAGTGACGGCGGCGAAGAGTATAGCTGACTAGGACCCTGGTACGAAATACAATATTTCGAAGACTGAATTCATTCACTATTCACTATATATTCACTATAACTTATAATATCAATGATAATAGTAATAATAATAATAATAATAATAATATCATCAAAATAAAAAAGGTGGGTAAGTGGATGTCGCTCTGCTGTACAGTAGGTTACAAGTGGGTCACTGTATAATGGATGCTTTTAAATTTGAATTCAATGATACAATATCATTGTATAAGAAAAACGATTCTGAGCGAAGACGGTTAGTCTAGGTTTAAGACAAATTATATACATATCTATGGTAGGTATAAAAAAAAAATTGACCTAAAATAAATTCCAAATTAATCATATCACAATATCCATTAGGTACTTATAACACGTTATACACCAACAACAAACCCTGATACTATCATATATATATAATAGTACACTTTAGAAGTTTCAAGTAGGTACCCACGAATAATATTATACAGAGTGATTTTTTTATCGAAGAACACTCATTATTTCAAAAAGTATTAATGTTTAAGAAAATATTTTTTTACATAGTTTCAAGTTGTTAAAAAACAATATTTTTATTAAAAAATTATATTTTTAAATATTTTTTATCCTTTTAATTTTTTAAGTTTTTTACTTTTTTGAATGACAACATCTAATTTTAATTTGATATTCAAAAACAGAATATTTTTCTGATTATTTTAATACATAAAAATTGAATTTAGGGCAAGTAGTTTATGAGTTATAAGTATTTAAAGTTTAGATGAGCGGAGTAGAGGACAAACATTTCGCGGGGTAACCCCGTACCACTCTACTCCGCTCATCTAAACTTTAAATACTTATAACTCATATACTAATTGCCCTAAATTCAATTTTTATGTATCGAAATACTCAGAAAAATATTCTGTTTTTGAATATCAAATTAAAATTAGATGTTGTCATTCAAAAAAGTAAAAAACTTAAAAAATTAAAAGGATAAAAAATATTTAAAAATATAATTTTTTAATAAAAATATTGTTTTTTAACAACTTGAAACTATGTAAAAAATATTTTCTTAAACATTAATACTTTTTGAAATAATGAGTGTTCTTCGATAAAAAAATCACCCTGTATAATCACAACAAAATAACTAGGTTTTTTAATATGTAATTTCGTCCAAATTTGAACATAAAATGACTATAAAAATAAACTGTGATTGTATATTTTTTAGATTTTTCGGTAAGCGAATTAACTACTTACGTGGAATCTTGTTTTAAATTTTCAATCCTTAGCTATAAAAACTGAACATTTTATAATTTATTAATTACGATGATTAATAATTTTCGAGATTTTGAAAAATTCTATCAAAATTCGATGTTAAAATGCTTATAAAAAAAAATTGTGCCTATGTATTTTTAATATTTTTCAACTGATATTGTAACAATATATCAGGAGCCTTGTATTAAATTTTTACACTTTTTGGCCCAACAGATAAAACTTAATTGATATTTATAGAAAAAAAAACTAAAAAAATTGAAAACTGAAAATGTTCGTAAACGGCTCAAAAAGTGTCAAAATATTTTCAAAATTGTAGGGTGTATAGGAAATGCTAATATAAACATTCAGTGAAATTTTCATGTATCTACAGTAATTCGTTTTTTAATTACAACAAAAAAAGGAAATTGCCACATGAGAAATCGAGTGAATATCCAATGTTGTAAAAATTTGAATTTCAAACGCTCATAAAAATTTAACTTGACTGTCCGGTAGAGATTTTTTTATTGATAAAGGTAGACAATCTTATGAGTAATCTTGTATTAGATTTTCAAATCTTAGATTTAAAAAGAAAAATTTTTACGAATTCTTAACTCAAAATAATTTGCTAATTTTCGTGATTTTTCCATATTTTGTCAATTTTTGAACTTTAAATGCTTATAAAAAAAAATTGTGACTAAGGATTTTTAATATTTTTCATCTGCCTTTGAAACAACATATTAGGAGCCTTCTATTAAATTTTCAAGCTTTCGCAACCAACAAATAAAATTTTATTGATATTTTTAGAAAAAAAACTAAAAAAAAATGGAAAATGAAAATGTCCCTAAACAGTTCAAAATAAATCAAAATATTTTGAAAATGTTATCGTGTATAGAAAATGCAAATATAAACAACCAGTGAAAATTTCATGTATCTACGGTCATTTGTTTTAAAGTTACACCAAAAACCAGAATCGATTTTTTGGAAAACCGATTTTGCGTAAAAATTCCCGTTTTTCCTTAATTTTTATGTTGTTTTTCCCGGCGCTCTTGAAAACTACTGAAAAATTTAAATTTTGACCTCCCCAATGCACCAACGATATTCACTTTCCAATCGAACAAGATACTGAAGTCGAAAATCGAAGCATTATTTCGACTACTTATCGTGTACACAGACACAAAAAAAATAAATATAAAAATAAAAAAATAAAAAAATAAACACACATCATTGTAAAATCAATACATTCATCGTTTCACTCAGAATCTAAAAATACATTATCACAATATTATGATATTATATTCACGGTTTATTATTATTATCACTTTTTTATTATATATAATTATAATATAATATAATATAATATAAAATAAACCAAGTTCGTTTTTCAATTTTTTTTTTTCAAAATGTGTGTTTTAAGGCACTGAATTTGAATATGTTTGAAAAAATTGTCACTCTTTTTTATGACCGAAGTTATACCAAAAAAACCGGAAAACAATTGATTTTTTAAAAGATCGTGGTAACCTCGATAAAAATAATGAAAAATTACTTTTTGACTAATTTTAGATTCTGAGATTCTGAGATGATGTGTGTTTTTTATTTTTTTATTTTTATTTTTTTTGTGTTTGTGTACACGATAAGTAGTCGAAATAATGCTTTGATTTTCAACTTCAGTATCTTGTTTGATTGGAAAGTGAATCTAGTTGGTGCATTCGGGAGGTCAAATTTTTAAATTAGTAATTAGTATTAAATAGTGCTAATTAATTGTACCTACCTACTTATTAATGGGATTAATCATTATAGGTTTAGTTGAGTATATTATGTATTTATGTCACAAGCTCACGACATAAACCTTAGGTATATTAAAATTAAAATCATAATACTTATAGAACGCAATAAGAACTTATTCAATTATAAAAATAAACCGTATATAAATGCTAAAATATGGCTATAATGATTTACAATGTAAATATTTTGATTTTATTCAATTTTCAAAAAAATAATGTTATATTCTATTGTAAATTCTAAAGATAGTAATAACTAATAAGTATTTTCAAAGTGAACAGTTTTTGTACCAGACTAAATTTTCTATAAAACCTGTATAGTTAATAGGTGCGTATTCTAAAACTTGATGGTCCACGCAGCACGCTTATAAACCATAGAAAACGTTCTGCTAGGGCACCTAGCTACCTACTTAGGTACCTATTTTTAAGAATCAAATTAAATAATAAATTTAATTAACTGTTTTCGTGATTTACGGCACAATTCGACATATATAATGTCAAAACCATTGAAAACTGAAATGTGGTGAGTTAAAATTAAATATATATACATATTAGATTGGTAAACATAATAATATAATCCCCGCATTTATTATAGACAAAGATTTTATTTTCAATTCGCAATAGCTAGGTACTTAAAATTCAAAACTGTAACGCGTTATTCTATGGAAATTACTTGTCAAAAGTAATTACATTTTCGTTACTTGGAAATAATTCTAATGAAATTACGTAACGCATTACATGCAAAGTAACGCGTTACTTTCGTTACGTTACTACAATACTACCCAACACTGGATATGTGCTATATTTTTAATTATAATTAATAATACTATGTTTACTTTTTTATTAGAAAAATTATGACATGATGCTGAAAACGTTCTTGGTTATGGTATAGCTACATACGTTTTAACGTTTTAGATTAACCATCATATATTATAATAGCACAAAAACATGCTTATATTTATAAGAAAGTATTATGTTGTGTAGGTAACTACTAATAAATTATTTTCACAATGATAAATTGGTAATTAACACTTTGTTTCGATATTTGTATAATTATGTTTAAGAAGACATATTTTGTTGTTTCTTTAGTGTCTTGTCTTACAAGTGCGTAACAGAGTTGAGATGTTTAAAACATTTTGTTTTAAACACTTGTTTAAAACATGTTTTAAACATCTAAATTGATCAAACATGGTTTTGTTTAAAACAAATGATTTAAACAACATAAAAAAAAAA